TTTAGATTATTTTGTTCCTACACCTATACATTTTATTTCTTAAATTTTTTATGATTTTACAAAGAATTTTTTTAACCGTTCTAATTGCGTTTCATTCGCTTAAAAATTATTTGAAGTATCAACTGAATTTGTTTAGGCTTTTTGTAGGCCCAATAATTTTGAAGATAGTTTTGCAATTGAAAAAAAAACAGGAAATACAAATTAATTTAGCACAGTCTTCAAAATATTTTTCGGGCTAAAAAAGGCTTTTAAAAATTTAGCAGATAGTTCAAAATCTATTTTATTTCATTAAATAACTTTCATGCGGATTAAAAATCATTGGAACGGTTACAACTATTTTTATCTCAAAATCATCAAAAATTCCATGTCCCATTTCAATGGGATGGCATGTGTTGATTTCATTTCTGCGTAAGCAATAATAATGATAATGGATTTCCATTAATAATCTCGCATCTTGGGGAAAAAAGTGTATATCGTTTCACCCGAACAAGCTACTACAGCGTCGTTTGGCGAGTCACTAAAAATTTAACAACTACCGGGAAACAAACAAACGACCCGACCCGCTGGTGTTTGTTTAATCGACTGTATATAACCGCGAAAATCACAATAAAACCGTCGTCGTAACTATTCCAAGCGAAATGCGCTAACTCTATTTTTAATCGTTGCCGGTGTGATGGTCTACCTCATGGGATCCGTTTGTTTACTGAAAATTCAATTTTTTGTTTTGTTTAATGCACAAAAGAGCGTGCACTACTTATCTATTGGCTATACGGACAAACTTAAGTTTTTTTTTTTTTTTTTTTTTCAGCGTATCAAAGAAAAATGATAATGTTGGTAGAATCGACACGGAAGGTACTTTTCATTTCCGGATCTTGAGAGATTTTCCAAACAATCTATTTTAGATTCTGGACATTCGTCGACGTGGGTTGATTATTGCCTCATCACGTGTTCTGCGTAATTATAAAACTTTTATGTTTAATCAACGTAAAAATCACTATGTAATTTAGATGATTTTTATAACGATGGCACTCGATTGTTCCGAATATCGTTAAATTCAATGATTAATGATAAAACTCGACGAAACTTAAAAATTAAAAAAAAAAAAAAAAAAATCGCTCAGTTCCACTTTTTTGTAGCACGTACTGTTGTGCACATAAGTGCCGTGTCATGGCCTTTGGCGCAGTTTCAAATGGGATGCCAAATTGTATTCTCCAAATCGATATTTTTGACCCGCGTCATATCTCCAGGGAACAAAAAAGTAATAAAATTGTCGCCCTCCCCTTCGGCGCGCAATAACACGAAATCGTTGAATGATTCTCCGGATGCCGATGTAGCAGTTTTATACCAAGGAAAAATCGATCGAGCTACTTTATGGAAAATCACACGAGGAGCTAATCTGAAACGTTGAATAAAAAATATAGGGAGAAGGAAAAAATTGTTTATCAAGCTCGAAAACAGCAAAAGCACATGGGGCGCTTGTGCACGAGATCTTCGCGCGTCAGCCACCCTTTGGGATGATAGATTTTTTTTTTTTACATATTTTCGGAATGGAAAGTTTATCGAGCTAATTGACTCGTCGACGAACGGAACCAGACGCCGTTGGGTTTTCTGCGGCAAAAAGCGCATCTATCGGGTTTCGGCTCATCAATCATCCGTAGAGAAACGACTTACCGTTGGTTTTGTTTTTTTTTCTCCCCGTGAAAAAAAAAAAAAAAAAAAAATCACCTACAAAGGAATAACGAATTTTGCAGTTCCCAGTAAGTCGTCTTTCACGGTGGTAATTACGAGTTCACCGTTAAAAGCTTTTTAAGGTCAGCCACGAGCATAATGGCAGATACATGTACATTAACGCGCTGCGGATAGGGTATATCAGATTGCCCGTAAGTAGGTATACGTTTATTTTATGCCCGTCGCGATGGAGGGAGCAACAATGTATATATACAAGAAATGGTGGAGCACTTGCACTTATATTTTTGATGGGAGGAGATCGAAAAGAAGGGAGGCGAGCCAACGTGCGTGTGCGCGTATATACATACGTAAACGCATGTGCTTTCGGACGCGCGCACGAAAGGGACCTTTTTCCGAGCTTGCGATCTCAGTTGCTCGCCAAACGCCTCGAAAGCGCCTTACATCGATCGTTTGCCGTTTTCTTTGTTCGCGCGAAACGATGCGAGATGACACGGGAGTTTATTTGTTTTTTTTTCGGAATGGCGTGTGAATTAATTCTATGATTAACATCAATTCATTTTTCAATAGCAGTCGGTATACAACTGAACGCATATATATGCGAGGTATTAAAAACATTAATTTGTGTCAAGTACACTCGATCGGTGTTTTACCATTTGGTTTAAAATAGACGCGAGCGCGAAAAAAAAAAAAATAAATAAAAAAACGCACAATAAACGAGTCAAAACGGCCCGTCAGATTAAGTTGAAAAATTAAATATACACACGTGTGGAGCATTGATAAAAATTTTGCACTATCTAGACCAAGGCGTTCCATATTTGCTTTACTCGGAATTGCCGGGCGAGAGGGTATACGCGCGCCCACATTATATTTAAAATCGGGCTAGCCGCGCGAGAGATCTGCCAGAGAAGTCACAGCAAAACAAACCACGGCGCAATTATTTACACGGTAAACGTATACCGTGGATCTTTCGTCTATTTGGAGGATTTTGTTTGTTGCTGTTTTTTTTTTTTTTCCCCTTCTCATCGTTGCTTTGATTTTCAAAGTAGGACATAGCTATAAAAGAAAGAAAAAAAACCATCGAGCGTATAATATACTTACGTGAAACCGAGTGTATATGTCATGTCGGAGTTCGGCGATGTGGCCGAGAACGGGAGCCAAGAGAGGCTGCACCAGCCGAGCCTCTCCCGCAAAATGCGCCGCAGCATTACTAAGGTGAAGAAGAGCATACAGCGGATCACTGGTACGTTGTTGTATAGATAACATTCGCCCTTGGCAGTTTTCGTTTTCTACCCCTTCCGAAAAAAAAAAATAAAAAAAAAAATTAGCTTTCCTATAACCACATCCTAATATACAACAAAATGATCTATCAAAAAAAAAAAAAAAAAAAAGTTAGCTTCGGGAAAATCACCCACGTGTTGATTATCCCGAGAAAGGAAGACAATGAGAAAATATCCGTGAAAATTGTCGCGCTCTGTATTACTTTCTGTCGGAAGATACTCACGACGACGAGGTGGATGAGCTGTCCAGGCGCATGCTGAGCCTGCCCAAAGAAAACCTCGACTCGCTCGCCTGTCGCACGGGCTTCAGTAGCGAGGAGGTTCGCCGGTTGTACCGCGCCTTCAAGCACCAGGTTCTCCTAGAGTCTCACAATTGCTTACCATCGGATTTGCAGTAAAAAAAAAAACATGGTTTTATACAGTGCCCGAACGGAGTGGCGACCGCGAAAGACTTGACACCGGCGTACGCGAAGCTGTTTCCACTCGGCGATTCGAGGAAGTACGCGGAAATCGTTTTCAACAGTTTCGACGAGGACAAAGACGGACTGGTCAGTTTCGGGGATTTGCTCAAGGGCCTGGCGTCGATTATAAAAGGAAGCGCGGACCAAAAGCTCGCCTGGATTTTTCGGTTTGTTTCTAACAAAAAAAAACAAGTCATCAAAGAATTGATGAATAATTTGTGTCGAATAGATTGTACGATTTGAACGGGGACGGGTGCATCACGAGGCACGAGCTGAGGACGGGGATCTCGGCCATCTACGAGATGGTCAAAAGCGCGCAGACGATCGAGTGCGCGGTGGACAGGCACGTCAACAGGTTGTTCAACAAGATGGATCTGAATCGCGACGGCGTCATTTCGCGGGATGAATTTCTCAACAGCTGCAAAAACGTAAACGATCCCATTGTCTTTCCCAACAATCGTTCCTTTTTCTCTTCTGAAGTGACGCGTGCTTTCAGGACCAAATGATTTTCGACCAGCTGACGATTTTCGACGACATGAGCTTGTATGTTTGAGAGCAAAAAAACTCACGTCTCTCATCTCGAGCTGCTGTTCGGTACAATCGCTGTACCTTTTCTTTCTTCATTTTGTTACACGTACAGTCATGAAAAAAAAACTTAGAATACAATACATGTTTTATGCGAGCTTACATCGAATGATCATCAATGCGCGCTTACGCTGGTTGTTGCATTAATGATTATAAACCATCGTTGGGCTTAAATATAATAATGAAGAAGTTGGAGTTGCATTATCTTGTAAAATATATATAAGGAAATAAAAAAAAAAGAAAAAGACTGATTTTCCATAATAAAATATTTTACTTTGAATTCGTTTTATATACAAATTTTACATAATTGATTACGAGTGTCGCCATGACCCGTCTCAACTGGTATGTACATATAATTACACTTAAATTAAAAATTTTTTGTGTTTTAATTTCTCCTTCGAGTTCAAGTTAACATCAGTTTTCATCTTTAATGTTATAGAGTTGGGATAAAATATAGCCATATCGATCGGATCTTTCAATGTTTCTCAAACTCAATTGCTCATGTTTCGTACTAATATTTTTGAAATAGCACCTCGGCTGGAAAAGTGGAGAAAATCTCAGATCTTCCGAGGTAAAGATGAAGATAGTCAACGGATGATCTGAGCCTTTTTTTAGCCTATGCAGAAGCTGAGGACTACCTGGGAAGAGTAGGAAGTTACGTTATAGAGTTTATGGGAAATTTTTCCCAGCACAATCTACATACACGAGAGAGCACAAGTGAGGGGGAGGGGGTTTAGGGATGACGATAGACATATACAGTCTGGAATGATTCTAATGCCGAAACTCACATTTTCTAATGATTCGAAGCTGAGATTCGCGGCACCCACAAAACTGCTGTTGCATTCGAAGGAGCAAGGAGACTTATTACAAACTATATTATTTAGCAGGCATGATACTTATAGTTTTTCGCACTTTTCATGCTTACAGGGCCATCAAGACCGTCGAGATGAAATACGATTCCACTAAAATTGAAGAGTATGAGAAGTATTGGTCGTCCAGTAGGACGGGATTTTTCGCCAGCCGCAACCAAATATTAGTTGGACCAAAGTTTGACTTTAAAGGCCACTTATGTTTAAATTTTGATTTTGAATATAAAATTACTTCATCAACTTTGTTTGAAATGTTCATCATGTAAAATTTAGCTAATGATTAAATAATGTTACCAATGGTCAACAAAAAAAAATACAGTCTAAAACTACACCAGCTGCTTTCACACTGTTTGTAACTAAGCTGTATTAAGCTTACAGGAATACGTTTTGTATCTGAAGAGGTATAAAATCTATATATTGACGAAAACTTGGGAAAAAACATTATAAAATTATGAAAAAACAACATTTCTTACATGTTTACCCATACTGCCACCCAACTTGTTTCTAATAAAAAAAAATTTATTAAACATTGAATGATCGGATTGATAAGGCTAATTATTTGTTAACTGATACCAAAATTAAGCAACTGATGATTATGCTTAAATTGATATGATTGAACATTTATAATCATCTCACGATCTACTTTTCCTGGATTGTTGGAATGTATCCTTTAGCTAAACTTACTTTTTGTATGAGACTAGAATATGAACTAAGTAGTAGTGTGGCATTCAAATTGTTATAACGTTAAATTGCATTGACAAATGACTCACCAGTTTTGAATATATTATCATGAAACTTACTATTAATTGTATAACATTAAGTTTTGTATAAAAAAAGTTATGAATGTTCAAAAAAATTAGTTTATAACAAAATAAGAAATTTGTTTATTAAATGGTATTAAATTTCTAATAATCAATTATTAATAGTGCCAATACAAGGCCTATCAACGTATTTCAAAGAAATAAGAATATTTTATTGTTTCAGGCAATAATCCAATAGGCCTTGACCAATGCCATTCTACAGAGCCAACTTAAGCAGCTGCTGCGCCGCCATATAGAAATACTTTATGCTAATGATACGCCAAATACGTTACAATGTCATTTGCATTGATTTCAGCAACTTATCAACTTTTAACGATAAAAAAGTCTTGACAAGCTCGTTTGCACATACAACTTCCCTTCGTTTAATAATTGTACTTTAAATCAACTCAAATCAAATGAAAAAAAAAACGTTTTCGAATTTTGAATGTCAAATTTTTACCTTTAAAACAACCGCTTCTGTAAAATATAGAACACGCAGGCAAGGAAAAACATAAAGGCCAAGGCCAAAAGGGCTTTATCCGTTATCTCTCTTCTGCCGTATTTGCCCAACAATTTCCCTGACTGTGCAAAAACTTGCTGTTGATCCTCGAGCTCTGTATTCGTTTGTTTGACTGTATCCGAGGATGTGACTAAAAATAAAATCATAACATGACATTTTGTTCAGAAAAATCAGAATACATAAAATGTATAATATTAACTCAGAGCATCCAGGGTAACGCCGCTCCTTTCATTAGCCTCGGCCAAGCTTCTTGAAATTTCTAGCAGCTTGTCAGTCAAGCGGCTGGACTCTTTAGCTACGTTCCCCCATTCTTTCCTCTTCCTCACTGTGCCCTGTTGTTCCTCCGAACCGCCAAGCAACTCTTCCCTTGATTTTTCCTCGATTGCATTGGCACTGAGAATATTTGCTTTCTTAAAAGCTACCAAAGCAGAGGTCAATTGTCCTTTGAGGCTGTCGATGATGGACAGCAACTCCGTTCTTCTTTGCTTGTCGCGCTCGCACTCGGCTAAGTTTCCAAGCTTTTCGATATTCGTCCTCAAAACCGCGATTTTCGCTCTACCTTCTGCATTCAAATCGTTCAAGTACTCCAGCGGACCAGTACACTGCTGTATGTCCTGAAATTTTGAGAAAGTTTTATAAGTACATGAATGTGGGGTGCACCACGTGTAGCAAACATATGAGATCCAGCTAAAAGTGCGGGTTAGGATGTACGTGTTTTAGTTTTCATTTTACTTGAATCAACGCCGTCAACTCCAGATGATGCTTGGTCACATCCTGGGATACGGAGTCGAACGTTTCGTCCAGCAATACCATCTCTCAGATGAATCAAGATGTCCTGCCTCCAGTACAAGGGACAAACATCTCTGATAGCAGTCTCGGACACTCGAACTCTGCGGGCCGTCGGCGCGCGGGGGCACTGCACTACTGCACACAATATTAATACGTATATATATATATATATATATATATATGTCAGTGATCAGTGTCGTCTGCTGCACACGAAATTCAAAAATTTTTCGCGTGTTCTTAGATGACAAGTTGTATATACAATTAGTATAAAAGAACTTTAAATTCTCTACTGGCATACCGGCCTCTCAATAACCGATGAGATCCAAGGCCATTCGATACTAGTACCAGTGCCAGTAAATTCTCTACAGTAGTCTAAAGTGTAGCTTGTAAGTAGTGTAAATACTAGTGCGTGCATCTCTTCTTTCAATACTGCATTAATGTCTGCAATGTCCTCTCAAGCTCAGGAACACGTATCCTTGAAAAATGTAAAAGTGAACTATTACCGCAAAGTTATAACGGTGCGCGGTTGCATAATTCGCGTGAACCGATCGTTTCAAATGCCGAGTGTCATGATGTTAATGTGCAAAAAGTGCAATGCCCCGCACGCGGTCGAACTCAAGAACGGCATTTACGAACCGAAGAAGAAGTGCGAGATGTGCAAGGCCCAGAAGTTCTTGCCCGACTTGAGTTCGCCAGAGGTGGAGACCATACCTGTACAAGTGGTGAGGATACAGGAGCACTTTGGCGAAGAACTGGATGACCAACAGGGGCGGGTGCCGAGGGTCATGGACGTCGAGTTGCAGGCAGATCTTGTCGATATGTGCATGCCCGGGGACGATGTCACCGTTACGGGGACCGTTAAAATGCTGGGCACCGACAACGGGACGAATCCCAAGGCCAACGTCGTCAATCCACTATACATCGAGGCGATTTCTCTGGTGAACAATGACAACAAAGCCAAGAATAGCGGGAGCTTTACCACGGAGTTCGTCTCGAGCGATTACAAAGCCATCAAGGAAATACACGAGAACGAGGACATTCTAGCTTTGCTCGTGAGTTCTCTGTGTCCAGGCATCTTTGGGAACGAGATGATCAAAATGGCTCTGCTGCTGAGTTTGTTTGGTGGTAGTCCGAAGCACGCCAATCTCAGGGAGAACATTCACATTTTGATTGTCGGTGATCCGGGATTGGGTAAGTCTCAGATGTTGCAAGCGTGCTCGAGAGTGGCCCCCAAGGGTGTTTATGTGTCTGGCAATGCGAGCACGTCGTCCGGATTAACTGCGACACTTGTACGAGAGGCAGGACAAAACGATTTTGCTCTGGAGCCTGGAGCTTTAGTTTTGGCTGACAGAGGATGCTGTTGCATAGATGAGTTTGACAAGATGCCTACGCAGCATCAGGCACTGTTAGAAGCCATGGAACAGCAGAGTGTGAGTGTGGCCAAGTCGGGAGTCATATGGTCGTTGCCCTCTAGAACTTCTATACTGGCTGCTGCCAATCCTATTGGCGGCCGTTATGATAAGTCAAGGACGCTGTGTAGAAATCTGAGTATGAGTCAGCCACTGTTGTCGAGGTTTGACTTGATATTTTTGCTTCTAGATCAGCCTGATCCTAATCGAGATAACTTTTTGGCTGGACATGTTATGCACATGCACACTGGCAACGAGGATTCCATGGATGAGGAGTTTCAAGATTACAACAAACAACTGAGCAACCAATTGAGCTCCTTGAGAAACAGACTGCTGTCAGCATCCAAAAATTCAATTCCTACTATTCCAACAACCATCCTGCGCAAGTACATTTCTTATGCAAAACAGTACGTAAGGCCAACACTTTCGGCTGAATCCGCTGATGTGATAAAAAAGTACTATTTGGAGTTAAGAGAAAAGTTAAACACAGCAGTTCATATAAATCCGTGCACCAGACAGTTAGAAGCGATGATCAGGTTGACAGAGGCAAGGGCCAAGTTAGAACTAAGGGAGGAAACAACAGAACAAGATGCAGAGGAAATAGTACAATTGATGCAGAGCTCTGTTCTTGGTATAGAAGAACAAAAGATTGATTACATCACAACAGAACCAGTTAAGCTGTCATCTAGGAGTGCTATCAAGACTTTCTGGGAACTTTTAACTAAAGATTTTAAAGAGCGGAATAATGATTTGTATTCCAAGGCTGAGCTACAAAATCTTGGTGCCAAAGGAGGAATAGCCGCTCGACATATTTTAGATGCAATTGATAAATTCAATGAGCAAGGATATCTTATCAAAAAGGGTCCAAATTTGTATGAAATTAAGATAAATAGTTGAATTTTTTTTTTAATTTTCCGATCGCAATAATTTTAAGGATTTGATTCTTGTAAATAAAATTTGTGCATATATACTAAGTATATACATATGCGATTAACTTGTATAAACTGTACAAAGAAAAATGAAAAATTTGAATTATAAAGTGTTAATTTGTAAGAAATGTGATTTTTTAATGTAAAGATTGGCATGTAATGTTAAAATTAAACTTTTATAAAAGATAGACTTGGACTTTTATTACTTGGACTCTCATTACCAAGCAATATTGTATGTATTACGCTTTGTGGAAGGAAAAAAATGAGAAAAATAATTAAAAGAGAAAACCGTATTTATTCTACTGAAAATTTTGTTTCAGTTCACAAAAATGTTTTGACAGTTAATACAGTTAGTTGATGGGTGTCAAAAAAATTTAAAAGAATAAATAAATAATTAGGAACAAAAAAGTTATAATGAAATGAAACTAATCAGAGTACAATTTTAATTTATTATGATACAATTCGCGTATGTTACAATGGTTCTAGGAAACAACAAACGGAGAGTAGATCGTCAATAATGTCACCGATCTTTTCCTTTTTTTTTCACAGCAGCTTTGGTTTTGAACATTAAAATACTTTTTCTTATCTTATTATTTCTATTATCAGTAAAATCACTCACGACGTCAAAGCTTATACAAAGGTCATCAGCAAATGTTTATGTTATGGGTTTATGTCGAAAAATCTTATTTCTGGTGTTCATTAATAAGATTCGTTGAAAATACTAGGTAATAGCGGCATTTGATGACCAAATGCAAAGGGCTTTCATTAAGTGACGCATTAAACAATTTTTTTTGCCCTAATTAATTTCCTACTGAGTTTCGTTTGGGAACGGTAGTCCTTGAACTCATTAATTATCTACAATATTGAAAAATTAACGCAGATTTTGGATCACGGCATGTGTAAAATCGGTCGTCGAATTCTGCCCTCCCAAATCTTTGGTGCGGCATTTGCCGTCGCTCAGCACGCGGTTCACCGCATCTCTGATGAGATCGGCATAGGGCTTGAGATTGAGGTGGTTGAGTAGCTTCACAGAGCACAGGAGCATCGCGGTCGGGTTGGCAAGGTTTTTGCCGACAGCCTCTGAGTATGTATGCCTTGCGCCCTAGAGATATCGATATTGATTTGTTTCAAATGGCAGTTAAGGCAAATCATTAACATAACAAAAAACCTTTACCGGTTCAAATACGACGCACTCAGCACTGTAACTCGCTCCAGCAACGACACCAGCACCTCCAACCAAGCCAGATGCGAGATTATCAACAATATTACCATACAGATTTGGTGTTACCATTACATCAAATTGATGAGGATTGGATACCATTTGCATGGTACAGTTGTCTACAATCATAGTCTCAAACAGGATCCTGTTCTTAAACAAATTCATCATTAAAATATAGAAACGCAAAAGTTTGTATTTTGAAAATCGACCGGAAATCAGTTTGTTTCTCACCTAGGATACAATTTAGCAATTTCTTGACATGACTTCAAAAACAGACCATCTCCAAGCTTCATAATGTTAGCTTTATGGACACATGTCACCTTTTTGCGACCATTTTTAACGGCATAGTCAAAGGCGAACTTGGCGATTCTTTGACTTTTTGTAGCAGTGACAATTTTTAAACACTCAACAACACCTGGAACCGACTCGTGCTCTAATGCCGAGTACTCACCTTCCGTTTGCTCTCGAATAATGACGCAGTCAACGTTTTGGTGTTTTGATTTTACACCAGGCAAAGATTTAACGTGCACAACATTCGAATATAGGTCAAGCTCTTTTCTCAACTTCATATTGAGGGTCTGTAGTTCACCCGTATGCGAAAAATCGGGAGTCGCAAGAATACCCTTGTAGAATAAATTTAATTTTAAATAAGTAGAACAAAGAAAAATAATCATTGATTAAGGAGAATAGAATAATGCTTACTTTGAGACACACTTTATTTCTAGCGATACTGCTGGATACTTGCTCCAGAGGAGCACTAAGTGTTGGGTTAACTTCTGACAGAAAGTATGGTTCAAAATCGACTGGCACCCCAGCTGCTTTGAATACATTCTGCACTGAAACAACCAACTCGGGCCCCACACCATCTCCAGGGATTAATGTACACTTTAATTTGTGTTCTGGTTCCTAAAATGATGTAAAAAAGATATAATCATGACAAATTTACTGATCAAGTTGAAGTAAAAATTTTACATATGTTTATGAAGCGGTGTGTATTGGTTAAGTAACCAGCTATTTTTATACACCAAAAAAATTTTTTTCACACGTTTCAAAAAAACCACTTCAGGCACATAAATCACAAAATCTACTTACAGCTTCTTGAAAACGCACAGAACCAACATGAATTGCCCTGGCTGAACCTTTTAACGGCACCTGCAAATAAAAAGAAAACTAAATTAAATTCTCTATGCTGGTATCATATCTATGCTACAGTCTCTACTTTTTCTCCTAGTACGCATCCACTTAATCCCAGTAATTCAATAATCAGAGACCTTCAGTGCTTTGTGTGTCAAATTTTAAACTTGACACACTATAATATATTGACAAAAAAATCACATTTGCTCCAAAACACAAGACCAATAACTCATGCACGTACACTCGTCGAACTGTTTAATTTAATTTTTTTTCTTTTAATCCAACATCCCTTGAATGCCCTTGCGAAACAATCTCACATACGTATAAAATGTAATAATAATAACCCCCAGCAGAGCAGCTGCAGATAATGCATTGGATAAATCAGCCAACGCATTATATACGCGGTGCGATAACAGGGGTGGGTGTACTATTTTGGCCTGAAATTAATGAACCGATATAACCTACAGGAGAGATCTCTTACCTGGCCGAACACCTTGCAAACGTTCCTGGCAAGTAGAGCCATTTGTTAATTTTTCACTTATCTGGTGTTTTATTTATTATTATTTTTTTTTTTTTTCAATTATCTACTATACAGCACCAACCAACTGGGCGACGACCAGAACTGCACAGACGAGAGAAACGACGACGACGACGACACCGTCTGCGCTCGCGCGCGCCAGACCATCAGCAGCCGAAAAACTTTTGCAATATCCGCATGCGCGTAATTATTTGAAATTTAGAGTCGGGCGCACATATTTTCTTTCATTGACGATCAACTATGTTGTTGTTATTTAAAACATTCGAAGCCCTGTTTCCTCTTAACACTTTTCACGTAAAAATACTTGGCATTCCATAAGACGAATTTAAAATCATTTTGTAACATAAAAATTTACCTTTTAAAAAAAGTTATCCATCCGTCATACGGAGAATCTTCAACCATCGAATTCGAAAACGCATTTGGCAATAAGTTAATGGCCATGGGTATGTATTATATATAATAAACGCTCCTGGATTCTCGATAGGTACACTGATTCGCTCGCAACTTCGCTCGACTCCAAAAAGTCCCCGCGCGCAGAGAGGAACCGTATGAAGAGATCGCCAAACTAAAACAAAGAACATACCAAAACAAAAGCGTCCACATCGGCGCACATTATTCAAATTTCACTCGACTGAAAGACAAAACGACCATCTTCCATCCTTTTTCCTCCGACGTATCATCACACATTATATCGGAAGAAAAAAAAAAAAAAAAAAAAAAAGAAGAAGGTATAAGCCCGCAGTCCGTCGTGCCTGGTGCCATTGGACGTCAGTCTGTTTGCCAGCTTGGTTATCCAGCANCCTCGAGTCATGTAATTGAGAAACAAAGCCTCGCGAGGAAGGTATAAATTTTCATTGTAAAATTCCAATGATGTGCAAAAAAAAAAAAAAAAAAAAAGAAGAAGGTATAAGCCCGCAGTCCGTCGTGCCTGGTGCCATTGGACGTCAGTCTGTTTGCCAGCTTGGTTATCCAGCAACTTTTCTCGTTTTCCCATTGGAATCACATCTTCGCCTAGACGCGTATAGGTACGTAAATACGCAGAAAAAAAAGCAAAAGGAGAAGGGCTGACTCGCACACGCGCTAGTTTTTGCATCTCCGTATGTGTACAAGCAGATTGAGCCGCGCCAGTCGAGCTTGAGCTTTCCGGGAAAGAACTTGAGACCGAGAGCGCAGCAGAGGAGTTGAGGAGAGGATATGGCCGAGGAGAAAAACAACCAGCCTAGCGACGTCATGGTCGAGGAAAAGCCGAAGGCAGAGGCGACCGAGGAAAAGCAGGTCGAGGAAGCCGCTGAAAGGAAGCCCAGTGACGCGGTGGAGGAAAAGCCCATCAGCGATGTGGCCGAGGAAAAGCAACGGGGGTTGGTTTTTTTTTTTTTTTTTTTTTTTTTGTGAGTCACGGATGGATAAGAGTTTGCAATTTTTTTTTTTCTATCAAATCGATGATGATACAAGGTTTTTCTTATTTGATCTTGAACGCGTTGAATGAGTTTCGAGTCTCGTTGCTGCGACTCCCACGTGGATTTACGTATTTGGAGATTGTTTCGACACTATGCGCGTGCGAGCGAAAATCTTGAGTCATGCGGTGAACGAGAACTTTGAAACGAGAAAAAAAAAAAAGAATTAAAACTTAACATTCCGTTATTCGAAAGACGTTGTTTCGCTCGTCTTTTCGTTGTTGACCATTTATAATAGCGTAAGCTTTTTGGATTTTCGTTTTTCCGCGTTTTAAAATTTATTCACTGTCCAACGAGAAAGTATTTGTCAAGGTGTAACAAAAAAAAAAGCGGAAAATTCGTTACTCGGACGATCATCAAGCAAGTCGTTTTGGGTTTTAAACAAAATTCACGAATACTTAAGCACGTGATGTTTCTTAAATGACTCAATGTCACGGTGAAGCAACGAATTGATCTAAAGTATCGTGATCGGAAAAGTAAACATTGGGTGTGTATACACGGCTAGAGGTGTGCGATTCAAACGCTCGAACTTTTGTTGTGTACGTTTGTTTANATCAGGCATTATAAACAATAATTATGATTTCGAAACCATACGTGATGCTCCTAATGTTTTGGTTCTAATAAATATATAGGTGTGGCAATAATTTCGATGTTTGATCTGAGAAAAAAGATTGAAATCAATATTTGATGGAGTTGTTTTTAAAAGGTTAAAAAGGAAAAAGTTACTTGATGTCTATAATCAGTACTTACTTTGTTTGCACCCAACACTTGACGAACATCGACCGTCTTTTATATTAGTGGCAAAAAACCACGTGACTTGTGTTGAGCTAGTGTCAATTTACGATTGGCTCCCACGTTAATGTACAGCTTCCCACTCTATCTTTTATAACCAAGTATTCACTGGAGTATCTATTTCTTTGTTAAGATCTTTTTTTTCAAGTAAAAAATAATAGTTTTGAAGAGAAAGCATAATTTAGAAATGTAGATAAGTAAGTTATAGTTAAAGAATGCTTTTTCGAATGAGCGCATGTACATAATCTGATTCTAATGTAGCTGTAATAGCTATGTAGTTTTATTAGCTCATGCTGCATTTCTCTTTATCAATCAGGTGCCGAGAGTACAGGACCACTCCGAGATAACTTTTTCGCCTTTTGTCCTCGCGTGTGAGGCAGTTCCGTCTTCTGGCAGGTATTAATTGCAGAGGTACTGGCTTATCTTGCCGTGGGATTCAGAAAGATAGACATGGTATGGTTTAGAGATACGAGAAAGAGCTTTTCTGTAGTGCGAGCTTGCAAGTTATAATTGGCAACCACTGAAATACGTGGGAGTGTGGGTATAGGTCAAGTGGAGTTGAGAGAAAAGTTAGTATTTTTACAAGCTAGCGATCTTTATAACTTTTTTTTTTTTTTTTTTTTTTTTTTTTTTTTTTTTTTTTTTTTTAATATAGAGAAGGAAGATCCTTAAGTTTGAAGGAGAATGATTCAGATATCGAAGCTCGCTCGCGGGAAAGGATAAAAATAAAGCGAATGATCGCTAAGCTGAAGCCGAGATCAAAGCGCGTGAAATCGAGTTCGGAAAGCAGAAAAGAAAATGGCAAGGGCAAAGATATTCGAAGACGGCCCTTCATCAAAAACAGAAGTCTGCAAAAATCCAAAGAAAATACTGACAGCAACAACACGGAAAAGGTAACAATTGCACATTTGTTTATTCACTTCTTTTTTTGACGTTTTTTAGTAAAATAACACTCGTCTAATGATCTTTAATTAAATTCAGCCAACAGACGTAGAAAATGAGACTAAAACAAAAACGATCTCAAAACCGATAAGAGCACATTCCAGCTGGGGTCGTCCTCCTATTGATTTCTCGCTTCGTCTGTCAAACATTGCTTCGACCGTACGAGTCCGTGACCTCAAGAGCGCCCTACTCGAACGCGGAGTCAAGCCGAGCAATATCACCTGGCGCGGTCAGCGAGGCTTTTGTTACCTGCACTTTGGTAAGCTGCGTAAGCGCAATAATCCCCAGAACCAGCCGATTCAGGTCGATTCGATCGTTGCCAACCTTCAGCAGTTGAAAATCGGGGATCAGACGCCTGAGGCGCCCAGTACTTTTATCACCGTCGAACCTGCCGAGCCGGTTTCTCGGATCGAGGTCACCGACGTTACTACTGTCTAGGGTTTTTCTTTCTCTTCCAAAAGTTTACGTAGTGGGTTCGTGATGACGATTTAGTATATACTACTGCGAGTTTGAATATTTACAATTTGTTGTGATTGCGGACTCTGTTACCACATTAGAGTTTTATGATTTTCACTGTTTCAGTATGATTTATTTAAAGTAGATTTATTTATTATTATTATTTTGTTTTTTTTTGGTACATAAAGTAAAGGTTGAATTTGTTGAATGATTGTTGTCGATTTAAAAGTTTATCATTAAGTTTTCTAGTTCCTTAAGAGCTATTTTTATGATTTTCAAAAATTATGAACCCACTACCGCATCGAGTACAATTCACTAGTTAGGTTTTATTCGTTGCATAAATGCTAGATTCTCTAATGAACAAGAGATCACTATAGCATCCTACTTCTAAAAAAACTTTGTATTTTTAAGGAATCAAAGTATTCCGAGCTAATGTTACTGATAAACATTCACAGACTGACACTAGTTTGTAAAAATCGTAAGAAACTGGTTTTCCTGTGCAAATGACGAGTATTTTCATAACGTCTTTCAATAATTATGATTTAGAATAAGATAGTAACGTCATGAAAAAAAAAAAAAAAAGAAAACCGAGTCATTATCAAATGCAATAATTGATAAAGTGATAAGTATAACTTGCCTTCCAACCATTTATCATGTATGGTTGTTTTTCGCACACTCGTTGAGAGTTTCTAGCGCTAAAAAAAAAAAAAAAAAAATGTGCCGAAAAAATTGAGATTAAAGATGATTGTCTCTGTGTATTAACTTTTTTGTGATATTAACAACTAGTTTTTGCATTTACGGCATTGTTATTAATTCTGGGATTATAAGCATTTGCCTGAAGTATTGCTTAACATTCTTAACAATCTTGTGTTCAATTGCTTATTTTGCCCAATTGTAATTTAAATTCAGTTGATTAGTTACTGATTTTCATCAAGCCAAATGATTTATTTTCTAAGCACTTACTACATTAATGTGCCTGAAACTAATTAGGTAACTCATATCGATCCAACTCTATTCGATCATCAGTAGATGATTGTTGTTTGACAAATAATACATATATAAATGTACTTAGAAATAATCATGCGTTATCTTCTAAAGGAAATGCAACTAATAACCAGTAAAAAAATTTTCCTTGCAGAGGTAGTATTTTTTTGTGAGTCACGGATGGATAAGAGTTTGCAATTTTTTTTTTTCTATCAAATCGATGATGATACAAGGTTTTTCTTATTTGATCTTGAACGCGTTGAATGAGTTTCGAGTCTCGTTGCTGCGACTCCCACGTGGATTTACGTATTTGGAGATTGTTTCGACACTATGCGCGTGCGAGCGAAAATCTTGAGTCATGCGGTGAACGAGAACTTTGAAACGAGAAAAAAAAAAAAGAATTAAAACTTAACATTCCGTTATTCGAAAGACGTTGTTTCGCTCGTCTTTTCGTTGTTGACCATTTATAATAGCGTAAGCTTTTTGGATTTTCGTTTTTCCGCGTTTTAAAATTTATTCACTGTCCAACGAGAAAGTATTTGTCAAGGTGTAACAAAAAAAAAAGCGGAAAATTCGTTACTCGGACGATCATCAAGCAAGTCGTTTTGGGTTTTAAACAAAATTCACGAATACTTAAGCACGTGATGTTTCTTAAATGACTCAATGTCACGGTGAAGCAACGAATTGATCTAAAGTATCGTGATCGGAAAAGTAAACATTGGGTGTGTATACACGGCTAGAGGTGTGCGATTCAAACGCTCGAACTTTTGTTGTGTACGTTTGTTTACATTTCAGCCGAGGTCAAGACAAAACAAAGCTTCCGAGAGAAAATGTGGGTTCACATGGCCAAGGAAAAGCTTACCCGATCCTTTCGGAGTTTGTGCAGCAGGATTCCGTTTTTCAATGGATACGACGAAGCCACCAAGCGCCTCACTGAACTCAATGAGTACAAAGAGGCGAAGCTGTTGATGATCAGTCCCGACAAGCCTCAGGAATCCGTGATTATAGCATCCTTGCAGCAGAAAAAGGAAGTCTTGATTCCTAGGCCAAGACTCCTCAGCGGGTTGTTCTACCGCGTGAAAAGTGCCGCGGATTTACCCGAGGAGGAGGCCAAAGATGTCGTGGTCAGGTACGACATCAAACAAGTACAGACTCCCATTAATTTTCACTCAAAGGATCTCAAGGTATGTGTACACCATACACCAAGTAAACTCAATTAAAACTTTTTTAAATAATTTTATGAATATTATTGAATTGTTTATTTTTTTTCAGGTGGACATGCTGGTTTTGGGATCAGTGTGCGTCAACAAGGCTGGCTACAGGATAGGAGAGGGAGAGGGCTTTGTGGACTTGGAATATGCCATTCTGTCGAAAATGAAGGCAGTCGATGAAAACACTATAATTGTAACAACGGTGCACGATTGCCAAATTCTCGATGATCTTCCAAACGAGCTTTTCGAACCACACGACGTAGCTGTGGATGTGATCATCACTCCAACACAGACGATTGTTGTCAATCCAAAACTTAAACGACCCAATGATATTATTTGGTCCAACATCAGTGAAAAACGACTAGAACGCATACCAATCCTCAAAGAAATTAAAGCGTTAGAAGAAACGTAAATTGATAATTTATCTATATAATGTTTACCTCGTAATATTTTTCATTCGAATCTAACGTGAATTATTTTTTTTTTTTTNAAGTTGACACGTTTCATAAAAACAGGCACATAAATATAAGGATAGGCATGATTCAATAATTGAAAAATGAGTGTTTAAAAAGGTACAGGTTTTTCCCCCCCAAGATTTATGCAAAAACCAGCATTTCGTATATAAATTATCTCCCGCAAACAAAAGCCCGGACTATTAGCAGGTACTTAAAGCAACGCAATCCTCTTTTTTTTTTTTTTTTTTTTTTTTTTTTTTTTTTTTCTGTTTATTGATCATCTCCGAAAAATAAAAGAATTTTGTTTGAGCTTTTTTCAGGTCAAAAAGATTCAATATGAATTTTACTCTCGAAGAAAAAATAACAAGATCCTTTCAGTCGCTTTTCAACTTGCAATTTCGGTATTTTATCACTGGGGAAAAATGAAGTGTTGTACAAAATATATAATAAAAACAGTCTGGGTTGATACTTTTATAATTTCAATTCTATTCATTTTATAGATATTACTTTTACGTTCGAGAAATGTTTTCAATATCTTTGAAACTCTCTTATCAAGTTAGCTCGTTTGTTATTTTCGGTGACAGTCAAAAGTGCACAAACCTTCTAATGAAGTCGAAAACTACTGATCAAAAGCGCACATCACAAGCTTATCATTAGCGCATCATAAGCGCACATTGAGTGATCATAAGCGCACATAGGTAAATGAGAACTTTCAGTTGCCTTACTGGCTTCAGAACCGTTTAATGCTATGTGACAGGTACAAGTACAAATATTTTACAAAAAAAAAATACATAATACTGGGAATATAAATTTTGCACATTGTCGATGATCCAATTGGATTCGTCATTACACATATCTCTTTGTCTCTGCTTCTGAAAATTTGATTTTTGTAAATATTATAGTCAAACAGTATATAATTTTTGTAATATGTACCAATAGTCAAACGCTTACAGTCTACTATCGCAGGTTGGCAGTGATGCGCGATCGCTCTCAAAAAGTTGACTCTTGATCCAGAAGCCCAATTTCTATAAAACCGATACTTAAAGGAACCCCGTATATTACGCACTCTTTTCCTTTGTTAGTCTCCTTATACGCTCAAGCTCCATTCTTTCTACTGACAGGTTTAAGGGACTTTAAGAGACTATGTAAACTGATTTCAATATTGAATCATCGATAATGTATATTAATTACCCTACAGCATTTTCTTAGCCTGCCTTTGTTGATATTTTTAGATGATATTAACATTGAGTGTGTATACCATTGTTATAGATTAATACTACCATAAATATACTAGATAGGTGTGCTATAGTTTTCATCATTTGGTTTGTGCACTTTTGAATTTCAGTCGTTCTTCTACAACGGACTCATTACTTTTATTTTACTTCAAATATTTAGTTGATTTTAATCATTTAAAATGGAAACTGAAAATTTTCTAATCTTTTTTTAGCTCGATATTATAAATTTTAATAGATAGCTGTACTATTTTATACTTTTTGACGTATTAAAATTTTTTTAGGTTGAATTATAACTAGAGTAAAAGAAATTAAAAAAATCTCATAAACGAGGATTGCTTTTTTTTGTTGTTGAAAAGTGTTATTTATATTGCGTTTTTACAAAGTGGCAAACTATGTCCACTGCCCACAAGAATTGTGCACATTTTCGTTGTGCACAAATTTTTGTACACAAAATATTATGCACAAGCTAATTAATAACAATCACAAAATATTTTACAATTATTTTTACGTGCACAATATTTATGCTTAAATCAACTTACGTTTTGTGCACATCTTATTTGAATGAAATGTTGTCTGTGAACAAAACTGCGCTTATTTACAAAAATTGTGCACAAAAAATGTTAATGAAAAAAAATTGTGGTTATTATTAATTAGCTTGTGCATAATATTTTGTGTAGAATAATTTGTTCACAATCCTTACGTGCATTGGACATAGTCTGCCAACAAAGTAGTCAATCGGAAAATTGAAATTATAAATGAGAGACCAGTGGCCCACATCAATTAAGGTATTTTGTTATTAGTGGTGAAATTTGATGTGTTAAAAAATTTTTTAGATGTTTATAGTTATTCACTTATATTTTAAGGAATCTAGAACTAAAAATTGATGTTCAGCACTTATACCATGTTTGATCCTCTACTAATATATTTTTTAATTCGTAATAAAGTAATACAAATTTTTATAGTAAATCAATTTTTTATTTATAATAACATGTAACATAATCATTTCTATCGATAAATCGTAAAAACTGAATTTCTAACACACATATGTATCGTAAGTATTGCATAACAAAGTTTAAAAATTTTTTAGTAATATACTATGTTCGGATAAACTTTAATATCACCAATACTGAGCTTCTTAATGATGTCGTTTCTTTGAGCTGTATTCCTTCAAGTTTTTTATAAACTTCCTTTTCATGGATTTTCTGTCCTTTTCGTTCGTGGTCATACTTTAGAAGTTTACAAATTTTTCAAAAGAAGCATCAGTTTGGGTAAAAATATTGATAAGAAAAACAGTTTGGAAATATTATTCAACAACAGCACATTATTTTTTAGAAAGTATAAAATAAAAAATTACATTCCCAAAACATTCATAGAATAGTTGCATTTAAATCGCACATCGGCATTTTTAGATTTTTATTAAAACTTTACTCAATGTTTATTAAACTATGGTTTGATTTTCATGAAAGCATTAGACTATTTTGAAGTGTCCGTGGCTATTAATATTTATCGGTCAATAAACTTTTTTCCATTGAAACACAACATTATAGTTTGCAGAAATAAGCTGAAGTCTATCTATAAAAATCGCTTTGAATCATCGAAATTTCTTCGAAGTCTCAATTTTTCGGAACTGCGTGTATCCCATATAGAAATTACCCCAAAGTATAAGAATATAATTTATGAATTTCACCTAACATCGTATTTACAGTGAATGTTTAGAAAACTTGTTCCTCAATGTACATAGACTATTCAGGCAGTAAATAATTTTTCTCTCTCTCTCTCTCTCTTACCAATAGAAATAGCTATACTTACAAATCTATTTACACGCAAGTACAGATGTATTTTTGATTTTTGTCTTACCGTCGAAAGGCAAGGACCCATGGTAATATTACCGATAACCGAAAAATAATCAAAGCAACACATTCGCAGTGAAAGAGTACACAATGTCCTTGGGACTGTCGAAAAGAAAGTTCAACGAGACACCCGTGTCCCAAAATGGACCAGCTGCGAAAAAAGAAAAACCTTGCGATTGACCGCTCCAATGCGCCGGACCGATTCGGGCGCTCGTTATCTCTTTCCACCGGTGTCGCGCGTCGTCTCCGGGGCACGACACAGAGCCAAACAGGGGCAGTAGCAGCAGCGCGGACGCCCGGCGTCCCACCTGCCCTAAGAGTCCGAGGCCTCGGGGCTGACTTGGACCGCGAAATCCATGGGCTCCGATTTTTTGTCGGCAACAGGTGCCGATTCCACGCTGCGCCGCGAGCCCTGAGGCGAGCCGCTGATCCGAGCCCGGACGCTCGCCGTCGAGACGCTCAGTCGATTGCTCGAGTTCATCGGCGAGGACGAGGCGTTTGCGTCCAACAGACGAGGCTGGAGCTGCAGCTCTTGGGACTCGGGGTGGACTTTGGGGGCCTCCTCCTCTTGGATGGACGGCTGGGCTCTCAACCTGCGAACAGAAGATCCGGGGAGAGTCAAGGTGTGGCCTTTAACTACAGAAGCAGTTGGAGGGGGAAAAAAAAAAATTATACCGGTGAGATTTGAACGTCAAAAAGGGTAATTTTCATCAATAATCTCATTTTTGCGAAAATCAATCCCACGTATATACAAGTATGTAACCTCGAGTCATGTAATTGAGAAACAAAGCCTCGCGAGGAAGGTATAAATTTTCATTGTAAAATTCCAATGATGTGCAAAAAAAAAAAAAAAAAAATGGAAATGTACTCTATAAAAAGAGCACACCAGAAAATTTCCATCGAGGATGCTGTTAAATATTCATTGGAAAAAAAGTTTCGAAAAGTATGATCCTGGTCAAGAGCCAATTGGGAGAAGTTAGTATTTACTCGGTGCGAAAATGTTTGGTCGACGCAACGCCCATGTTTACACGTGTCACATGATGGCTCTGTCGCTGTGGACCAACATTTCTATTAATAAATGAGATTTATTTTCTAAATGGGATTTGAACTCCAATAAACCTACCGTTTCTCACCTACTGTTACTTAAACAACTTATGGCTAAATGACACTTTATAGTGTAAAAATAGCCATGTTTGAGCCCCTCAGGGGGCGACGATGATTTTAAATAAAAAAAAAAAAAATGTTTACACGTTCAACTATGAATCAAAGGATGTGTAACGTAACGGATCATAGCTCGATTTTTTTTTCCTCGTTCGATACGAGTACGTAAAAAAGAGATGTTAAAAAAAAAAAAAAAAGGTAAAAAGTTATAACCTTGGAGCGCGGCTGGCAGTAAATTACTCATTAAAAAACGTTACATCTCACTAAAAACGATCGTATGGGCGCAGCCGTCGAGGACCCCCACGCGTAATATCACCCGAGGAATTACGGCCAAAAAGGGCGCGCTTGTATGGGATCGCGTGTCCCCGTGTCCAGAGTTATATCCCTTGGAAGACCGTAACGTCTTCTGTCCCGGCTTTGACGTTAAACACCACCGTCCCGCTAAATTTCTATGCCGAGCTGTATAGTTGTAAAGCGGATACTGCACTGTATAATATACCTATGCTGGCTAGTTGTCTGACTTGTAGGGATTTTCCTCTACTTAAAGTTGGCGAGTTTTTGGTAATATTTAGTTCGTTAAAGTTATCTCTTTGCAAAAAAAAAAATTTTTCTTTTAAATATCATAATATTCCCTGCTACACTAACAATATTACGTGTAATACGAAACTTCTTTGTTCAACAAACGCAACGAGGATATAACGACGACGGCAAAACTCTAGTCAAAGTAACTTTTAATAAATTATGTACATGTAATTATACTTGGTAATTGATGTTACGGTAAAAGGGTAAGCGCGGCTAATGTAAGCATGCTGTTCCGCCAACTTTATTGGAGTAAGTATATTCGTAAGCATAAACACTTTTTTTTTTTTATTAAGAGGAAAAAGACTGTCACGTACATCAAATTTCATTTCGTATATTTACGGGTACAGGGAAGAGGGTGACTTTCAAAGGGCGTTGAATACCAAGACAGTTGTATGGATATTTTTATTACGGATTCAAGAAAACGCCATTAAATATTTCAGGGGTAATCCTCTTTTTTTTTTTTTTTGTCTTTTTTTCCTCTCTCTCTCTCTCTCTCTCTACCGACCCACCGAAATTTCCTAACTAAATCAAGCGCGCCCTCGCAGTATCTGACGCCCGGCATCTTCGCCACTATATCCCGGCTAAGCCCCCTCCGGACGCGTTAAAAACCGTCCCAAGTGCTCTTATCTGTACTTCCACTACGATGTACACACACACGCGCGTCCACACGTACGTACATGTATAGACACATCCCAGCTGGAAGCTCGAGAGTACGTAGCAGCAAAAAGTAAAAAAGGTGCAAAAGAAGAGAAAGAGCCGGGCGGAGCTGCGGACGGTAAATCCCCGCTGCAGCGGTGCATGTTATACACAGTTAGGCGGGGGAGGGAAAAAAAAAATAGAGTCCTCCTTCTGTTCCAAGGGTCAGCAAACTCCTACCATGACGTACAAAAAAAAAAGAAAATATATACCTTGGCTCCGAATTGTAAAAAAAATAAACAGTTGATTGCGAGTGTGATGCTCAAGGAGAAGTAGGATTTCTTTTATAATTTAAAAGCTCGGTCGACCTTTTTTTTTTTTTTTTTTTTTTTTTTTTTTTTTCGATACTTCGAACTTTGCGCATATAAGTTTTGTCGTTATCGGCCTTCATCGCCACAACTGTCTTGAACACACTTTTTCCACTGAAAGCTCGGTCGACCTTTTTTTTTTTTTTTTTTTCTTCATCGCAGAGATGAATTTCCGAGGTCCCCTTTGTGCACACATACACACACCGATTGCCCACCCTGTGCCACGTAAGTACCTCGATCTCGCCTCGGCCATCTGCTGGCGGGCGATGATTCCCAGCTCGGCCCGCGTCATGGCAGTGTTGAGCTCCTCCTCCCACAGTTTCTCCTTGCGCTCGCGCTCGAGTCTCTCGAGTTCGCGCTCCCTGTTGTAGATGCGATACTCCGGTATGTAGGCCAGCCGGCGTTGCATGTCCAGGCAACCACCGCCACCACTTCCGACGCCGGCACCCTGGGTCTGCTCGCTGGGCTGCGTCGGGTCCTCCGCCAAGGACTCGGCTTTCAGTGATCTGCGCAAATTGCCCCCTCCCCCCCCATTAGTATCGACTTTGTTGAACTGGACGCCTATAGTTAGCGGGGACATTGGGCTGTCGGGCTCAAAGGGGATGGAAACCAACTTGGACGACCATTCGTCCGCGCGTCTTTGAGCGACTGGGGGTATAATATAATTGGCCGTTGCTTGGAAACCACGTACACCTCTGCGACTCCTTTGACGTTTGAGAGCTGCTTGGACACTTTTGTCGCTGAAGGCTCGTTTCGTGAGACTCGCACCGCCACTCTTGAGGGTCAATTTGAAATTTAATTGGTACACTTCCACGTGGTCGTGATTAAATCTAAATCCTATATTGACGTCGAGTAGGTGAAACATTCATTGAGTGACACAATTGTTATTTATTTGCTCTGCACCGTTAATTTGCGAGTATTAGCCAGTTAATACACATATACATCAGAGCACTCGCTCATGAGATTGCAATCGATATAGATTTTTCTCATGGATTTAGTTGAAGAGAGCGAATCCGCTCAAAGATTGAAACGAGGCGTACCGAGTTATGAGCTGTTCGATCAAAAACTTCATATTGAGAAGAAAAGTTAAAAAGCCAACTTGCTCGCACCGACTGAAAAACCTCGCTCTGTATCAATATGTCCCCAATTATCTTTCGAGTTGATCAAATTGAGAAAAATAGTTAGAATTTCCTGAGCCGAAAATAAACGCGACAGTGTAGGGGGTGTAAAATCCAACGCGAGCGTGAAAAATGTGGCTATTCAAGCCACGCGGTTACGGGATTAACTGTCCCCGGGGCTTGAATTTCCTGCGGAAATGGGAAGATGAAAAAAAAAGAAACGTGCGCGAGGGCGTATCAGGTGCTCAACGTAAACACCTCCCGGTGGCGTCCGCTCGTTTGACCGTAATTAGGTACTTTGGCTCTAAATAACGAGACCCCCCCCCACCCGCTTCTCTCACGTCACGTGATTATCTCCAGTCTGTGCAGTGCAAGCTTTTTTTGATTGGTCTAATTAATAAATCACACGAAAATCCTCGTATTACAGCCACACAGTCTCATATCCACTTCCTACATTGTAATCCAACATACATAAACACAGACATGCATACAACAGTGGTCCAATAAATTGTACGTTGGCAAGATTTACGAGCAGCACCGGTTGTAAAAATTTTTTAGATCATTTCTTCACAAAGTAAACAGTATTAAGATTGCGCGAGTAATCGAGGTGGACACGGTATACATATACATTATAATATATTATAGTCACAAGCAGCAGTTCACTGGACACACAAAATACACCTGTTGTCCCTCAGCTTGTATTTGCGTTGATATAATTCGAAAAAATGCTCACCACCAGCTCAAACTATACAAACACATGCACGTGAAAAATATACATCAGGCTTGTGATATTCATTACAGCCACATAATTATGGTTGACACATCTCCGACCAGTTATTAATTTCATCGAAACTCAACATTTTATCATTAAAAACAATGATTTTTTGAATTTTCAAGCCAAAGTGAATCGACAACAAGCGAGTTTGTAACAATAGCCGTACACCAATCAGCCCTACAGTTTTCATCGACTAGCAATATCCGGGTTGCAATACACACATACACACACGTACCCACCTCTGTTTGGCGAGACGTTTCTTCTTCTTGTGCAGCGGCTTGGTCTCAACGATCATCTCCTCGAGCTCGAAGGTGGGGTCGCAGTTGAGGTGGTCCTTGGGCGGCGTGAACGCGGGCCTGATCCTCTTGTTGAGCACCGCGTCAAAGTCAAGCCTGGCCATGGGCCCGAGGAGCTTGAGCTCCTTGAGGCTCGAGCAACGTTCCAGCGGCTCGAAGGCGAGCAGCCGCTCGACGATCTCCCGGACGCCCCGGCTCCAGCGGGCCGGTGTCTCGGGCAACTTGCCCAGGTAGCCCAGGGCATCGCGGTGCGACGTTGACGCGTGGATCGGGAAGGGCCGGCTCCCGGACAGCGCCTCCCACGCCAGGACGCCCAAGCTCCACCAGTCGACCGCGAAACCGTAGCCCAAGGACGCGCCGTGCTCCTCGTACGAGCACTTGTAGATCTCGGGGGCTGCGTTGCGACAAAGAAATGCTCGTTGAGAGAGAAAAAAAAAAGAAAGGTATACAAGTGATATGATGTACGTCGGGTTTTGTCGTTTAAATGCTAAACGCGCAGATAAGGGTTGAACGGACTACGTGAGTTTTTTTTTTTTTTGAGACCAAGACCCTTAAATTTCCAGACGAGACAAGTCCCGTTGAATTTCTCAGTATCGCACATACTACGTATGTGCACAAAGTGTCCGATACATTCGAGGCGCGTCGTGCGACTGAAAGGACTCGTCCGTGTATTATGTGCTCATCATCTCTGGCGAACTGGAGCGGTTCGGCTTGGAAATCACGAAATACGTACAGTGGAAGGACAAGATATACATGTTAAATGCCACGTCTTTATCGAGTAGATAACGATTTGTTCGGGCAGTAGGTGTATACATTGGCAAACCAAGTTGGGATCGTTATTCGCTTCTTCTTTACACCCTCCATTTACTTCTGGCGCGATGGGCTCTATTAATAACGTGTATTTGCAAAATATTGTAATTTGTAATATACAAATCCACGTAAGGAAACATCATTCGTGAAAGTGAAACTCGTCGACGCAATCACATGAAATCCAGGAGAAACAATCGCGTGCACTTTTAGAGTTTCCGCGCACATCGGGCTCTGTAAAATTTTCAATTCACCCGCATAGCCCTGAACGACGCAGTCGGGAAATCCCGTATATGTACACAGCGCATTCGAGTGGTCCCTCTTTCATTATCCAATGACGCGTACCTATATATGTAACTCATCCCCCGGGGGTTTTATGGCCTACAGTAACAATGGCGATACAACAGCCCTTTGGTATCCGTGATCCCTCCAATTGGGAGCCAATGCCAAATGGAAAGAGGAATTTAATTGTATCCGCAAAAAGGAAAGGAGTAAGTACCGGAGTTTTTGAAACACCGAAACGTCATTAACAGCTCACGGTGCATGGGACGAGGGGAAGCCCCGTTTTGCATATGTGACGCGCGTGAACGAGCCCTACACACAGATGTACATTACGCCGAAAGCTCGGGAGTGCTACCAACGCGCGATGTAACGGTATACTCGATTCAGCCGTCGTTCGAGCCGCGGGTGCCGCTAACTTTGTCATCGGAGCATAATGCAGAGAGCAACTTCATTCGCCCCGGCACGTATACAGTGTATATGCATATGTGAGGGGTTGATGCGTGTCCCACCCCCATCCTCTATCGCCTGGTTATGTAAATGCACTCATCGACCATTAACGTTATTCTATACGCCGGTGTTGGCTGAGTTTCACCTTTTAAGCCCTGAAACTAAGAGGATTTCAAAGGAGCGACGTTAGTTAACTTCGATAAAGGGTTGACGCGAGGAGGAAATTAATTTTAAGTGTAGGTGCAGCCTCTGGTTTCGACATGAATAATTCCGCGCGAATGCTTTTTTCAAACAATCTCTTTCAAAATGATATTGTATTTATATAAATGTCCATTGTATCGGTTTTAATCGGCCGTCATTGCTGATATCGCATTATTCACTCGTATTTTAATTAAATCGCCCGTCAGTGCTTTATTTACCACTTGGCTGTATGAATTTAAACCGGGGGGTCAATAGCGTTATCAATTAGCCAGCGGCGTCTCGTATAATACATGTATATATACCTACCTGCCAGACTATACCAGTATACATGAGCGGCTGTGTTCATTAAAATTCATCTCTATTGACTCGCATCCTCAAAGCTCCTTGTAATTCACAGAGAAAACAATGGTCGAGCTTTATAGTGCTGCATTAATAGCTCTCTGGCTCATTTTAATTGTTAATTCATTAAAATTTGTTGTAGCGCATTTCAAGGTATTTTGAAAATTATTACTTCTTAGTAATCGTTTACAGCGATAATAATAACAAAAAGAGTACTGTCTACAAAGTACAACTTACGATGTTGAAAAAGTAAAAATAACGTTTCCTTTACCATAGAGGATTGAAGTGCCGTAAGAGAAAAGAGAAAAATGGTTCGGAACGCGTGATACTTCTATATATATTTTTTTTTTTTAATAAATTTTTTCCTCTTTCTGTATTTTATTTCAATAATTTAATTGATTTCGGTTGTTTTATTTATTTTGTACGATATACACTTTACTTTTCGCTCTTTTTACTTTTTAATTCAATGAAACCTGGTGCGGTATTTGTAAAAGCTTTTTCAGGTAGCTTTGTACTATATTTTTATTGTGTGCCTTACTGTTTTGTACCGAGTATTTTTCCATCACTTATCTTTGCGTATTTTGTTTGTTCCACGCAAAATTCACAGTTTCAAAGACCAAAGATTCGTAAAATCGTGAAGAATTAAAATCTTTTGTATGAATTATTCGTTACAATACTTTTATCATTTGAACAGTATAACAAGTACAAAGTGTGACAGCAAAAGCGAAAGATCTACAGAATGGTTGATAAATAGCAGAATAATTTCACATTAGATTCTCAATGCCAGAAATACCTATACAAACACTCTGGTAAGAAAAAAAAAAAAAAANGTGTTTTCAAACTTGTTTTTAAAAAAAGACTTCTTTTTGTACTTGAGGGGAAAAAAAAAAAAAAAAACCACTTTACAACAAACAAATAGGTATTTTTAGCCAAAACGTTTGCCGTGCAACTTGTAACTGAAGAATAAAAATACTGATAAATTTTGGTCATATAGCCGGTACCCGCGGCAACAGTTTAAGATGAAAAGAAAAAAAAAAAAAAAAAAAAATAAACACAAGAAACAAACAAAGTAAGAAACGACTATGAAATGATATCCGCGTAACGAAATTGCAACTGGGGCGATTGGAATTAAGTATACATCACATACAATAAGCAAAAGTTCAGCAGCGAGTGTAACCGCAGACGCTCGAATCGATTAAAACAAAACCAGAGTGTATCTACATTCAAACAACTAAAGGACCGCCACCCTAAGACGTGCCGCGTAGCAGGTATATACGTACAGGACAGTCCTCCTCCTCCACACCTTATAGATAGCGTGAAGCCCTTTCGAGTACAGTTTTGGAAGCTGTGCTGTTCGTTTATGGAGGAAGTAAAACGGGAACATTGATAGGAGAGGGAAACACGTAGTTGCGGGCAAGGACGGAACAAGCACAGAGGATCGAGGCTACGATAAACTCGCGACTGTTCCACGCAAGAGAGTCAAAAGCGATGGGGTAAACCAAACACGTGCCCTGCGGGGGGATGTTTCCTTGCATAGACAAAGCGCACGGTATCGTACCGATCGATAGTAACGCGCAACAACCGGCCGAATCGAAAGAATAAAGTCCATAGTGGTCGGTGTCCGTGACAATGGCAAGTATAATCGGTTGATTTATATAAGTACATGGAGGTGGACCGAGAAGGATGATGTGCCCCGAGGAAGAGCAACCTGAGGTCTCCGCGTCTTGAGCAATTGGAAGCTTTTGGATTTTGGCCCAAGGGAAGCATGCCTATAAATATATACCTGACCAGGCCCTACGGGTAGGTCAAGCAGAGAACGTGTTTATCAAAAATTGAGGATCGTTCGGTGCGCTGAGCACTTTTCAAAGCTATATATTATAATATAAGGAGAGAACCAAAACTGCTGTACTTGACAATTTATAATTTAATTAAAAAAAAAAATTAATTAATCGAGTTTCATTATAGTTTCCCCAGCTAAGATAAGAAAAACAAAACTGTATCTGTACTTTTGTTTAATATTACGACAGCGTATTGGTTTATTTCGGTGTTTTCGGGTGTACGTAGGTGTGCGGGCACTTATGTTTTGGAATTTGTGTTTTTCCAGAGATTATTTTTTGTTACACAAATAAGAGTAAAATAACGGTGGTACAATGGTATGTAATTATACACCAGTGTATGAGAGACAGAGAGATTGATTGATTAATTGTTTATTGGTTTAAGGGCCAACTGGCCAGTTAAATTGCTGCTTGAGGATTATGTGGCCAAACGTTAAAATGAATCAACACAATTAAAATTAAGGTATTAAGAGAGATACTTAATAAGAAAGAGATAAAAGGAAGTGTTTTCTTGCACGAGGCAAAATAACGACAAAAGCTCCATTGCCACGTATTGGAGAGAGGCGAGGATTTTTGAGAGATTCATCCATCGGCTTCCATCACCTCACATGTATCCATCGTTTTCGACTCGTACAAGCTAGTGCTCTTTTGATTGTCGTTTTTTCACGCGAGAGTATACCTATAGTGATATTTTGACTGCTCCAAAAAATACAGTGACAATAAATTTAATAAATACAGAGAAATCTCAAATACGCACTTATACGTACTTTTTAAGAAGAAACAACCTGATCGCAATACAAACATAAGTATTTTTTTATTGTTTCTTATTTCTTTCCTTTTTCTATATTTTTCCTCAAATTGTCTCAGACAACTCCTATATTATACCTTTGCGATAAAAGTCAACTGACAAAGGGCCCCAATAAACGTACACACATGGAACAAGCAACAAAAACAAAAATACACACGAAAAGGATGCTTTGCCTATGCTCTGCGTATACATGTATATATTTGTGTTTTCCGTAGTTGTCCTCGTTCTCCTCTTCGCAGTCGTGTTCGATGTTTTGTCGCACAGGTTTTTGTTTGCAAAATGTAGGGATCCATTCATTCCCCTCCGCCCCGGGGTATACAATAAAATTCAACGTCACGTTTCAAAGCATCGAAGAGACAGAGGGACATCGATCCAATCCCTTGAAATGTGAATCATCGAAAATTGGAAACAATAAAACGAGCGTACATTTTTCCAACCTTCGATATCGTCCATCGCGAAGAAATCCGTTGTACAAGTAACGACAGTACATCGGCCATTCACAGCGAGTATATGTATATATATATTTCACACTCGGTGAAAAGTCAGGAGATGAGAAGCATGATGGTAAACTTTGCCAATGAGTGCAATGACACTTGCGTCGGGGAATCCAATATCCTTTGTTCGGTTGGCTCTCTTTTCTCCCAATACACCTACATCCACGGAAGCGCATCGGAAAGGAGAGAAATCCCTGCACCGTGAATGTATATACGCGCAGCGACGAAAGGAACGAGAAATTCGAATTGCGAGAGATTCTTTCGATGCGACGCGGGGGGGCTTGTTGGTTATATATCGGTGCTTCAAATCGTATCCACAGCGTCACGAGGATACGGGCGTTTGTAGTTTCACTATATTTCTTTAGACAAAAGATTAATATTTTAAGTAGTGGTATGGCTTTATAGTCGTTCGTAGGAGTATAGCGGACTGTCTGGAAGCTTAATTTATTGTTGAAATTATTTTTTAAGCGTTAGATAAAAGTTACAGAACTGTTTCTTTAGATACAAGTTTCGAATTTTAAGTAATGCATTGTTTCATAACCGTTTAATTTCGAACAGAAAGTTTTCGTTTAAAATTTTAACGGACTACGGATGGTTTGTGTACACTAGATTTAACACAAACCTTTTGTTCGAAATAACAAATTTTGTGTTATTGTTAATATTATTTAAAGTCAGAAAGTACAAGAAATGTACGTAATTTTGACATTTAATTTACGAGATTCAGAAAATCATACAAAATTTTTAATTGCGTACACACGTGTTACTCCTTGCACTGGAAGCTTGTGATTATTATTGTTTTATTATTAGCAGCGAAAACGCGGAAGAAGCTTTCGGATTCCTCTATTATCGTAGTGCCGTTTTATATTTTGATATGATGTATTATGATATTCATATACTCTATGATATTTCAATAACTTTTTCAAAAAGCTAGTGATCTTCTAATCAAACGAGCATGACATTAATACCCCTAAAATGTACTTTACGGCTCTCCGAGGTGAAATAATTCCCGTTGTTAAGGAGCGCAATAATGAAAGTAGCATCTAAAAAAAAAAAAAAAAAAAAATAATGAAAAATAAAAAAATAAAAGATAAACGTGAGCAAGAAAAGAGACATACGGGGCATTGAAACGTGCGGCCCGAGGCGAGGAGAGATAAAAGCAACGAGATTGCAAATAGTGAGGAAGCGAACGAGGGGCTTAAAAGTCGAGTATAAGGCACAAAGCCGATAATAGCGTCTCCCTGCACCGGTGCGGCGGTGGTCGTCCGTTTGATGAAAAAACGCAAAAAAAGTTTACTCGTACCCGGGAGTCGTTTGGTCACATGTACATACATGAATATGTATACCTTCGCGCAATTCCGCGAAAATGGACCGGAGTTCGGTAAACAAACAAACAAACAACAGCAGAAAAAGAAATAAAGGAAGCGCAACAATGGCACTGCAATTGCGAGCGCAGGTGTGCCATACGGGGGAAAGGGGAATGAAAGGTACAGCGCTAAAGTTCGTGTACGAAGGAAAGGGTCGAAGGGAGGGAGCAATCATCAGAAAAGAGCTACAACGATTAAACGCTTGTCTCCTTATTTTTAGCACTTTTACAAAGACGATGATGGGTAAACACCTGTTGGCCAGCCTCGATTACTTCATTTTTCCAGCGGCTCATCGTCTCGCCGAAGGAGAATTACACAACGACAAACGGCAGCGTAGCTCTTATTTTTATTTATAATTTTCTCTTTTTTGTTTTCATCTCATTTTGTTGGCTGTCGCATTATCTGGGTTTTCACGTATCCTTCACGTACCCTGCATTGTTCTCGCTAAGCAACGTTGCAGGGTACACACATAGTTCTATCCATGCGTCGGATGGCGCGTGAGTTTGCACTGATGCAATTTTTCGATACAAACACGTGAGGTATATTTCAAGTGCTTCCTTGGCTTTCTTGTAGTATCAATTTCTATGAATCTCTCGAATTCTGCGAAACACGCCTTTGCAATCACGTTCCCAACTTGTGGAGATGTTCCAAAAAGAAAGAGAGAGAAGGGGTGGGGAAACACGATGAATAGCTGCCTTTCTCAATGGACCTCGTCTCGATTGCGGTAATCGAATAGGGAAGCACGTGCAATTGGATTCTGGCGCGTGGTCCTGCACTATCGCTGCAAGCTCCACTTGGCAGTACGGTGTCATGTACCGTATGAATATGTATAAACTTGTACAGCCGCCTGAGGTGACCAGCGAAAGGTCGAGACAGCTCTCGAGACGGAAGGCGCTGTCCATTATGGGACGAGCTTGGGGTGATGATTCAGTTACGGGCGCGGAGATTCATTAATGAATTCAGGGTAGGTTGTACGTGTGGATTATTGATAATAGACGCGTGTACGTACCCATGTACGGCTTGGTGCCGGACATCGAAGTGGCCACTTGCTCGTCCTCCAGCGTCACCGCGATGTTGAAGTCTGTCACGTGGGCGTGGCCTGCGAAAACCAAAATAACAATCAGCGTTAGTTGCTCCCTTGAAAAAATGCTATCTCCGGAATCGTGATAACTATCATAAATTTTCAATTTCGATCTGGTTCGGATGGAAAATTTTATCAAACATTGTTCAACGAAAAAAAAAAAAAAGCTATAAAATTACAAAATAAGTACTCGCTCTTCTGATCAAAAATACATCATCAATGGCTCGATTACGAAAGGTCGAGGTTTCAACATATTTTTTACACAGACGTTTCCAACCGATCGTTGGTATGTGGGACTTTGGAATTTTTACCTCCCGTTAATTAGTTATTGATAACGAGGCGTGCGCATGTAAAAAAAAAAGCCTTTCTTAAAATTAAAAAACCGCCTATCTCAAGTATACAGGAAACGTTTTTATCGTAGCTACACTTAACTTCAACAGTGTCAGTCCAAAACTGAAGCTCGAAGGAAATCTCGATTTCAGCATTTTGAGATAAGCGTGTCACATTTACGTTATTTTAATGGCTTCGTTGCCTACATTTATTGGTTAAGGTGTAGAATATAACAAAAAAGTCTAAATTAAACAAAAATACGTTAAGCATACCAAGAAAAATAATCGGTTTTTTCGTGTTAGACTTAAATTCAAGTGTGAGATTCTCAGATAAACAGTACAGTGTCGTCAAGACTCAAAAATACAACGTGGTGGTGCTTCCGTGCTACTGCGAGTTACATAAATACGAGAAATCTAAAATTAAAAAAAAAAACTAAAATCACACCGTGTTTGCGAACTCATTTGGAAAATAATTATTTTTGATACTTACAACTGTTGTTTTCCGAGTAAAAAAAAAAAAAGAAATTGCTACGAAGAGATAGACAATAATCTATCATTGTGTAAGCTAAGTAAAAAACCGTCCATAGTGGGAGTTATTTGTATGTATGACCAAATATCTACCTTGACAATAGCTCACCAGTGGTCACGTGATCTTTTTTCGTAACTATATAAATCATATAAGAGGCGGTCAAGTATTTTTTGAGGTAGTCGATACTCGTCAACTGCTGAGTGGAATCAGAGTAAGTACTAATTAAATGTTCCAAAATTTCTTTCTTCTTCATTTATTAAAAATAAACCCGCGAGTAATTCCAAGTTCTCTTGATTTTAACATCCATCCAACATCCAAGCTTTTTTTCATAATCAAACATTCATTCAAAGCAAATATAGCTGGGAACATTTGTTTCTAATTTTAATAACCACATTGTTTCTATTACCTACTAGATCAGTGAAGGAGCCACTCAAAAAAAAATGCCAATGTCTTCCGCAACTGCCCTCGTAGCCATTGGACTACTGTGCACTACGTTACAGGCGGTCGAAGTACGTACTTTTTTAAAAAATTACACTAATGGAACAACCGAAAACATAGATAAAAGCTTGACCTCACTGAATTGCACCTCGACTAATGTGCGGCACGAGTCCAACTGTCAGTTCGAGGTTAAGATGGTAAACGGCACCTCGAACGGCACCGCAAAGTCGTGCGATATAAAGCTCGCAGTACCTGAGACTTATTACATCGACTTGAATACGGAACAGTTTATCCTCAAGCAAATGTCAACGGGAAATGAAGCAGAACTCGAATGGCACTCGATTAAAATAAACAATAGTCACGAAGAACAGAAGTGGGTCAGCTACGTCAACATGGATACTTGCAACTTTACTCAAAAAGCCTTTGAGGGTACTGTTATCCAGAAATACACTAATGCGAATATCACAAACATAGATGAAAGCTTGACCTCACTGAATTGCACCTCGACTAATGTGAGACACGAGACCAAGTGTCGGTTCGAGGTTGACATGGTAAATGGCACCTCGAACGGCACCGTAAAGTCGTGTGACGTAAAGCTCGCAGTACCTGAGCTTTATTACATCGACTTGGATACGGAACAGTTCATCCTCAAGCAAATGTCAACGGGGAACGATGCAGAACTCGAATGGCACTCGATTAAAATAAACAATAGTCACGAAGAACAGAAGTGGGTCAGCTACGTCAACATGGATACTTGCAACTTTACTCAAAAAGCCTTTGAGGGTACTGTTATCCAGAAATACACTAATGCGAATATCACAAACATGGATGAAAGCTTGACCTCACTGAATTGCACCTCGACTAATGTGAGACACGAGACCAAGTGTCGGTTCGAGGTTAACATGGTAAACGGCACCTCGAACGGCACCGCAAAGTCGTGCGACGTAAAGCTCGCAGTACCTGATCCTAATTACATCGACTTGGATACGGAAAAGTTCATTCTCAAGCAAATGTCAACGGGGAACGAAGCCGAACTCGAATGGCACTCGATTAAAATAAACAATAGTCACGAAGAACAGAAGTGGGTCAGCTACGTCAACATGGATACTTGCAACTTTACTCAAAAAGCCTTTCAGGGTACTGTTATCCAGAAATACACTAATGCGAATATCACAAACATAGATGAAAGCTTGACCTCACTGAATTGCACCTCGACTAATGTGAGACACGAGACCAAGTGTCGGTTCGAGGTTAACATGGTAAATGGCACCTCGAACGGCACCGCAAAGTCGTGTGACGTAAAGCTCGCAGTACCTGAGCCTAATTACATCGACTTGGATACGGAAAAGTTCATTCTCAAGCAAATGTCAACGGGGAACGAAGCCGAACTCGAATGGCACTCGATTAAAATAAACAATAGTCACGAAGAACAGAAGTGGGTCAGCTACGTCAACATGGATACTTGCAACTTTACTCAAAAAGCCTTTGAGGGTACTGTTATCCAGAAATACACTAATGCGAATATCACAAACATAGATGAAAGCTTGACCTCACTGAATTGCACCTCGACTAATGTGAGACACGAGACCAAGTGTCGGTTCGAGGTTAACATGGTAAATGGCACCTCGAACGGCACCGCAAAGTCGTGTGACGTAAAACTCGCAGTACCTGAGACTAATTACATCGACTTGGATACGGAACAGTTCATCCTCAAGCAAATGTCAACGGGAAATGAAGCAGAACTCGAATGGCACTCGATTAAAATAAACAATAGTCATGAAGAACAGAAGTGGGTCAGCTACGTCAACATGGATACTTGCAACTTTACTCAAAAAGCCTTTCAGGGTACTGTTATCCAGAAATACATTAATGCGAATATCACAAACATAGATGAAAGCTTGACCTCACTGAATTGCACCTCGACTAATGTGAGACACGAGACCAACTGTCGGTTCGAGATTAAGATGGTAAACGGCACCTCGAACGGCACCGCAAAGTCGTGTGACGTAAAGCTCGCAGTACCTGAGACTAATTACATCGACTTGAATACGGAACAGTTCATCCTCAAGCAAATGTCAACGGGGAACGAAGCAGAACTCGAATGGTACTCGATTAAAATAAACAATAGTCATGAAGAACAGAAGTGGGTCAGTGTCGTCGATATGGACAGTTGCACCTACGCTCAAAAAGCCTTTCAGAATAATACTTTTTTGATGAGGTACACTGACTGTTTTTTTCACAAGTTTCACGCAATGCATAAAAATTCCGACGAGAGCCTTTCGTACGTAATGTGCGACACACACAATTGGACAAATTATGACTGCTTGTTAGAGCTGAAGCCAATGAACGGCACCGAAAAGCAATGCAGCTTGAAACTTGCAAATTCTTGGGTATACGGTCTCGCATTTTCTAGAGGTGACCACTTCGCCACTATGCTCGGGGGAGAAAAGGCTGTGATTCAGTGGAGCAAGTACGACGTTGTTAGCACCTCGAATTCTACGACAACCATCAAGATTGTATGGAAGTTGAGTATCATCGACATGTTGAACTGTACCAACATCGTCCAGCTGGACTTCAAGATGGACAGAGACGATAGAGATTCCGACTTCAATGTCCTAGTTTATAACGACAGTTTCGACGTCTATCTGACAAGTAAAGAAGCGTGTCACGACAAGTACGACAAGTGCATCCTTCGATACAATCACGAAGGTAATAACTTGTAAAATATTAACAGATCATGGCCAGAGCCATATTGATCAAAGCTACTTGACCAATAATAAACTGCATTTTTGTAATTCTTCCATTATTTTTAGGTCAGCTCATTAGCGACCCCATCTCTTTTGATTTGAAATCTTATCGTTTCGGTTACACAATGATCGTGGATCGACTGAATTCGAGCAGCGGTGGATTATTCACCGAAATTGATTATCTCGACCCTGTGGAAGGTATTTATTTGATGACAGTCCACCATGTGAGGAATGATGGTTCTGAGACCACCCTGTTCGAAAACTACCTAATCCAGGGCAAGGATTTGACTAACAGCCGATGGCAATCGAGCGATCATGGGTATTATTCGCTTTGTCACTCGGATAAAAAATGTGAGGGAGGCGTAAATGAGTGCAATGTGCTTCGTTGTGTACAATACAACTTTCATGGTCAACTAATGATGAACACTACCCTAAAAGAGTGGCCTAGGTTACTCAAAATATTTAACCTGCGCGACGGAGGTATAATTATCATTTACTTTGAAGATAGCAGTCCAACTGCTAATCCAAGACCTGAGTTAATACCATCGGCGGTAAGTTTTACTATAAAAATAATCCAAGTTAAAACCAGATTCGTGTAGCTTTTTTAATATCCTCTTCGGAGAATTCGTTTTTTTTTTGTATGTTATGATAATGTATTGCTTTTACCACCCTGAAATAAGATATTGTTGCAGTGAAAAAATATTTCATCAGTTGTCTGACACAAACATTTTTTTGGCATACATTTTCACTTTTTTCTAACTATACTTTTTTTCAGATGATTTATGTCAAAGTCAAGGTGTTGGGAAGGAATGGTCAAGTTACCAAGGAAGCCAACCTGGGTGATATTGATTTGCGTCATTTAGATCTGTCATACAAGGATATCAAGATAAACCACTTGGAAACTAATAGTGAGCAGTGCTTTTATTTCGCCTATGAGGAAGTCTATCGCGTGAAACCGGTGTCTAACAACACCTT